ACATATACATATGTATGTATGTATATGTATATATATATATATATATGTATGTATGTATATATGTGTGTGTGTGTGTGTGGAAAGAGAGAGAGAGAGAAACAGGGCCATTTCATCCAGCCCAGGTTGACCCTCCTGACCCTCCTCCTCTCTCTATACTTTCCCTGCCACAGTCACACAGCTTACTTTTCTTTTATAATTGCACTTTAAAAATTCTTGCAGAATTCTTTGTTCAGCTCTGTGCTCCATTTTTTAATAGGGTTCTTTGATTGTCTAGAGTCTAATTTCTTCAGTTCTTTGTGTACCTTGGATATTAGCCCTTTATCAGACGTAGGGTTGGTGAAGATCTTTTCCCAATCTGTTGGTTGCCGCTCTGTCCTATTGACTGTGTCCTTTGCTTTACAGAAGCTTTGGAGTGAATGAGTATAAATTACAATTTGAAAAAAAATAAATAAATTATATTTAAAAAAAGAAACATAAATAAAATATTAAAAAAAAATTCTTGCAGGTACTTCTGCTCCTGAATCTCACAGCTGTGATGTAAGGCTGAAGTCGGGATGGCTGTTAGTTACCCCAATTATTTCATTTCCATATAATTAAAATCACCATGTTCTTAAATGTTCTTCTGTCTTTACCATTTTATATTATCTTACTTAGGTGATATTCAAAAAGAACTGTTTCGTTGTGTGGAAACCTGTATGATTTCATCCTAGCAACTCCTGAGCCAGGGCCCTATACCACAGACTGGTCAGAGCCCGAGTGCATGTAGTGAGCACTTTTGTGGATAAACTGTGAGAACCCCGGAAAAGGAAGGAGTTTGGAACGGGACTTGAAGAATAATAAACGAAGCAAGGACAGCAGAGGAGAGAGCAGGGGATCACAGCAGGCGCAGAGTTGATCAGTGTAACATTTTAAGAGAAGAAAATGTTTGGAGGAAGAAGGGGAGAAAATGCTTGAGTTTGAAAACATCCTGTGAAATGATAATTTGTTTTAAAACATCAACGATGAAGAGGAGGCAAAGGAGAGAGAGGAGCACTTCCTCCTGTAGAAGGGAAAGAGGAAAAAGCAGAGAAGAGACTAGCAGTAATGACACTTCTTTAACCGCAACGGCACTGTGCTCGCCTCCAAACTGGCTACTCAAAACCTTCACTATCAAGACACAGGGTTCTTCAAATTAGATAAAAATCCACAGGAAAGGGTCAGGTGGAGACACCTGTGTGCTGAAGTTCAGATACCCCAAACACATTTAGACTCAGTGAAAAAGCCTAGTTTAAAATAAAACGTAACAAACAAACCACTTAGGAAAGCATCTGTAGGGGCCCCACAGACTGGACATCTGTACAAGTAAGCACGGAAGCCACACCTCACGTACTTCCTGAGACAAAAAGGGATGGATTAGCCAGGCAGTGGTGGCACACGCCTTTAATCCCAGCACTTGGGAGGCAGAGGCAAGTGGATTTCTGAGTTCGAGGCCAGGGCTACACAGAGAAACCAACCAACCAACCAACCAAACAAAACACCACCATCAACAACAAAAAAGGATGGACTGCAATACCATAAAACTAAGACAAAATCTGTAATTCCAAATGGAGGACTCAGTTCCTATAAACTTGTGATTATACAGATATTAAAAATAAATATTGCTTGTTTCTTCTAAATTTTGCATCTCTCATGGGGTTCTCAAAATGCAATTGCTAATACTTTTGTTCACTTAACAATAGCCGTTTATTGTACTTAGAGAGGAGACTGTGGACTTTGTTTACAAATGGAAATAATCTGTCAATGTTTAAGCTGCCCCACCATTTGTATCCAAGCTATTTCACCTCTATCAGACTATTCCTTTGACTCTCCTCTCTAAACTTGTTCTGGCTAAAAGAGAAACAGGTCAACCAAGATTTTTAAAAAAAACCTGAGGAGTAAGGTCCGATCTGGGAGAACCAAGACCAGCTGCCTATCCTGAAACAGTCACACTTCCTTTCAAAACAGAAGGTAGCTTCAGACCATGGCCTCTTTCCTCTGTGCCTGGTTGAAACATCTGGGTCTGAACCATTGCTCTCAGTACCCAGGAAACAGTAGTCAGTATTAACTTCTGTGCAGCCCTTCGGGTTCCTGTATCCTTAAGTAAGCAGTAGCCAGGATTTTTGTGGCTAGCCTTTTGGGTTCTTGTATTCTTAGGTGCTTCTCTAATTTCAGAACAGGTACAAATGGGACGAAGGGGTTTGTAAGACATCAGGTTGAATTTCCTAACATGTTCTCCCCACAACTAACCAGGCAGCTAAAAAAATATGAACCCTTCCATTTGAGACTAGTGAAAACGACAGCCTTTTCCCCTTCATAAAAAGCAGCATTTCCCCCGTCTGTCATGAGTCCCAGGTCACTAGTAAACACATAAAGTCATTTATGAGTTCTGTAAATTTGTTGAAAAGTCAAGGTTTTGCTGTTCTACATAGTTTAATTTTCCCAGATGTATTTCTTACATTCATGTCTAAGGAAAGGGAGAGGGGTGTGCTCTTCTCGACTGCCCCTCCTCTGCTCATTTCCAATCATATTTTATTAAAAACTATAGTCTATTAGTTGGCATTTCCTAAACAGACTGATTGCTTCTGAAAAGAACAGTGCGAGCATTGGTGTTGCTCTGCTGTGCCATGACTGACAGACACATTGCTGTTTTCCCCGTTTCATTTCCTGCAACATTTAGCTGGCAAATACAGAGCAAAGTTTACTACTGTAACTATTTGTGTGTTTTCAAATAAACTGCCTTTCAGGAAATACTTCTCAAAATGCAGGAGTATTTTGATTCTAAACTTAAAAAAAAATAATAATCCTATGACCAGCAAGTGTTAGTGTGTGACTGCCCAATCCTCAATTACCTGCCACCTCAAACACTCGCTTCTTGAATGAAGTGACAAGATTTCCATCCTTCCGCCTGAGTAAGGGGCTGCTTCTCCTCTCTGCCACTTTCTGTTTTAACCTGGACCGCACCTTCAAGTTGGGCTCTGAGGCTGGGGATTGAGACAAAGAAAATAGATAAAAATTAAAAAATAAAGAGCCAAATGCTCCTGTGTCCAAATGTAAAAAAAAAAAAAAAGAGTAATGCCAATCTTCACCCAGTATAATATTCTCAAATTAAAAACCCAAGCATATAAGTAAGATGTTAACTCTAAATTAATCAAACAGACAAATATAGTAATCATTTTATAAAGTAAATTCCATCTTTCCCTTAACATGAATGTGAAGTAGAAGCAAAATTAACTTTTCTACTTAACTTTTATCTAGCACAACTGTAATTGTTAATGGGAGGTTTAATCCCTAATTACGGGTAGGTCTGAGTAAGATTTATTACGCTTCATTGGCTGGCCTCCTAATTCTCTCAAGACTGAAATTCAATAACCACTAAAACAGTAACTTAATGTGAGGTTGGACACTCTGACCTGACTCCTGGTAACAAGAAGACACCTCCACAGAGCATAATTTATGTCTAATTCTGACTCCTGAAATACGTCTTTGTCAGAAGCTTCTAACCTAAAACTTTGGGAAAACATATTCTACAGAATAACACAACAAGAACTGGCATCCCTGTGAGTAACTCCTTCCATGTCCTCAGAATCCCACCAGGAAAAAAGGAAGCTGACCAAGCTGGAATTGAAAGTTTGCAGTTAGGGTGTATGCTTGAAAATGCAAACTCCCCTAACCCATGTGTATGGTACTATTTCTTTGGCTATATTATTCCAAATAGTGAATCTATATGGTAGTGATCTGTTATATTTTCAAAAAATTATGTTTAAAGAATGGAGGCGCTGAAAACCATCTTTGTGTAGTAGAAATATATTGCATGTGTGGTTGAGGATGGTGGTGTGATCGCAAGGCTGTTTCTGATGAAAATAAACATTTTATCATGTTTTCTATGTTATAACACCATCCTAAGTATTTTGTCAATACTAACTTGCTTACACATAAAACATGGAATGGTATAGACTCTATCTGTAATGTTATAGTATTGACAAGGAAGTCAAACTACAGAGGATAAATAACTTGTCCAAGCTACAGAGGTGATGGGAGGAAGTCAGGGATGTATCCAAGCACCCTGATCTACCCTGAACATACTTTTCCCTACTTTTCCTTACAGAGGAACCTCATACATAATGCAAGATAACTTTTGTAAAGTGCCAATGATTGCCCACACTAGACCCAATGTTCCTGGAGTTTCTCATCAATGAACTCTTTCCTTTTAAAGAAGAGTAGCAGTAGATCTCAGCACACACACCCCAAGACATCAAATATCTGTATTTGTTTGCTCTCTTGTTCTCTTCCCTGCAGTGGTCAACTTAAACTGAGAAGTATTGCATTTCTCAGATAAAAATATAACACAAGCTCTTTATTTTTGTGCCATGTATTTGATATTGTGCCTGAAAGCATTGACATTATAGAAACAAAGGACGGTGAGTCCCCCAATTTTTACTATAATGGCATGTCTCTGTTTTTCCTATGACCTACTCAGAAAAAAAATAAAAATCTGAGATTGTTCTCTGACTGAGATCTATTCAAAAGTTTCAATGAAGTCTAATGGATTAAACATTAAAAATTGGATGCCCAGAAGGAACAAAACCACTGACTTAGCACTTCATGAGGCAGTGGATGGGAGACTTGGGATGCTTATTGGTGGCCTCAGCCCAGTACATCCTGCCTTTGCTTCCTCCCTGAATGTCAGTGATCCATGACTTTAGAACTGAAGAACCAGTTGGTCCTTCACCTTCAGCTATGTGAATGGCTTCTTGTTCTTGCCAATTGCTGGGTGCCTCTACATCCATGTAACCCTGTTTACTTCCATTTAAACAGCATTTACAATCAGCAGTGAAATAAGTTCCGTAGTCTTTCTCCCTTTTTCTTATCCATCCATCACTTTCTTGGCATCAGTGACTTAGCTCTAATCAATAGGGTTCTTTATAAGTTGCAATTAATAGAGAATTGAATGGAATAATGCCTCATACAAGATAAGCCATTGGTTGTTTCTAAATCAGAGAAGATATTTCTCCAGAGATATTTGGTGATGTTTGAAACATCACTGGTCATCCGTATGGGAAGATGATACTAGCATTAACATGTAAGAGCCATAGGTACTTCCAGTCGTCCAATAAGCTGAGGATAATTGTCCCTCAATGACAAGGAATTATCTAGGCCCAAAGGTCAGTAGTGTAAGAAACCCCAAGGGGTCAATCATTCATTAGGAGCTGTCAGTAACTATACCACCATGGGATGGATAAAGCAGGCAATAAAAACTGTGGGAGAATGTGAAAATTTTGAGCAAAAAAGGGAAAGTGATCAAAGATTGAGGAGTGGTAATAGAGTCTTGATAACTAATTAATTTATCCTTGGAAATTATTTCTTAAAAGTTTTAAATCTATTAATATTCTTTTCTAAGTCTTTTCACAGGATATAACTATGTGTATTTACAGGATAGAGTATGATGATTTTGAACCTGTATATGTTGTGTATTTATCAACTAAAAAAGACCCAGTTTTCCTTTATCTCAAACATATGAGTTCTCTGGGGTGAGAACATTCAAACTTTTCTCTGGCAGTTGTTTTGAATTACATGATGCAACACTGTTAATTATAACCACTCTTTATGAGGCAGAACACCAACCAATATCTCTGCTACCATGCTGTGACTTTTCATTCATTAACTCATCCTCCTCTGTTCCCCAGAGCTTTTGGTAACATATATTCCACTGTGTTCTACTATGACTTCAGAATTTGCAAAGGAGTAATTGTGCAAGTACTACTGATATTTATGTTGGAAGTAAGCCTGGCCAACTTCTTTTGGATGGTCATATTTCCATATTTATGTATGTATGTATGTATGTATGTATGTACACACATTATATATATAGTGTATTTATAAACATTATATTTATACACATACTAAAAACTGGAACATAAACTTATATTTGAAAAATTTGCTATTTACATGTTTTTGAGGAAAGGCCCTATGCAATGGTTCTAGCAAAAGCTTCTGTCCAGATTTCAGTGATTTTAAGTCACCAGAGACAGTAGAATGTCAGTGGTGAGGATGAGAATGTAATGACAGACAGCCCTCAGCACTCACACTGGTGCTCACAATGATAAAAACAGCTGGGCAAGAGGAGTAATGACCAGTTCTTTTGTCCTTGGAGTTGCTTTCACTTTCAATGCTCTGATCTCTGTGAAGGCTCGAGATATCCATGCTCCTCCTTTACCAATCCTCAGAGGTTAGAAGGAAATGACTACTTTCAGAGAAGGCTGGTTGCACTAATCACCTTTTCATCTCTACCCCATAGCTGCCCTCCACATTTCAATTCATCTGCCCAAAGAAGGCCTAAGTTTTAGTTTATGTGTCACCTGAATGTGAACATTTGCTCCCTCAAAAACCATACATCAAAAATTATGTGTAAGATCATGGGTTGGAAAGGTAATAACATAGGCAGAACAACCCTAGGACTTTTTTCTTATCTCATTTCAAAGAATGAAGAGCAAAAGTCAGCACACACATCTGAATAATGTTTCACGGAGATGTTTTACAACATTATTCTCCTCCTCTTGATGATGCAGAATGTGATCAGGGAGGCTGTGCAAGAGAATCAAGTCAGGAGATGTATCACAAGCTGACTACTAGAAGCACAGGTTAACCGGTCAGAAATCCTTGGTACAGCATCAGGATTCAGGCAGGGAAATAGTAGAAGTGGTGTGTGACAGGGTGTTTAAGTATGACCCAGGGACAATCATGATTTGCATTTGTATAAATACATACAGACCCATACAAAATCCTATGCAAGTGTGCAGGACTCTGACACAGGCAGGCCCAAATCAAACACCAATGCTAATCCTTTCATTGGCTAACTCTAATCATGGGAGGGTAGATTAATCTCAGCAAATTATTATATCATCTATGAAAGAACAGTAACAGTGTTGTTCATTACATGTCATGGGAAAAGATTGTGAGGGAGTTCTCTCTGAATGTCTCATGTGGCTCACATACGACTAAGGAAATTATACTAAAATAAAATAGAACCAATAAAATGAAAATGTAAGAAGAAGGTTGTGTGCCTACAACTGGTAGATACAAGCTTAATGCACTATCTATTAAAACAATAAAATCAATAATTTGTTGTGGATGGGTCTGGTGCTGTTTGTATTTTGATGTAAATTCTGCTCTCTTGGGAGGGGCTGTGGACAAGGAGTGAGTCACATACTCAGGTGACTTGTGAACCATTCCATTCCCTAATGAATAATGGAGCCAATCACTGAGCAAGTAGGAGGGACTTCCAGGTTGAATAGGGGAAGAGAGGAAGAAGAGAGGACAGGATAGCATTAGGGCAAGATGTAGCTACTTGTGTCTCCTGGTTTATGGCAAATCTGCCAGGATTCGCTATCAGAGGATGTATATTTAATATGCCTTACAAGATTAGCATTCTAGTTGTTGTGCCCAGAGATTAAGTTACCATTGTTTTTAAGCTAAGTTTGTTTGGTATTCTTGCAAGGACTCAACTGAGTTCAATAGAGAAAGGTAATGGCAGCAAAGCATGGGTTTGCCTGATGTGCACCAGAAAGGCCGTGAGGGTTTTGAAGCACAGGGCTGGCATGGTAGTGAGGAAACTCAGCAAGTTGGGTAGAGAGATTTTGGAGCTCTGATGCCATGTGTCCCGCTGGTGCCATGTGTCCCACTGGTGCTGGGTATAGTACTGGAACTGCTGTTCATTTTTTTAATACTTCCTGCAACAATAATTCTTTTTTAGACTTTCATTATTATTATTTAAAGTACTTTTATTAGAAGCTGACCACATATTTTCTTTGATTTTTTCAAAGTATAAATTCTACTCATTACTTTTCTGTAATATATCACTTCCTATTGAGAATGAGTACCTACTGTGTGCATTTTGTCTTGGTTAAGTTTAGAAGTATAAAATATTATTTTATTTTGTGTATAACATATTTTGCTTGCATGCTTATCTGTATATCAAAGTGAC